CTTGCAAGCATTTAAATTCACATTTATCTGAAGGGATTTATTTATGTCAATATTGTGCATATTCAACAGGACAAATTGAAGATCTTAAAATTCATCTAGATTTCAAGCATTCAGCTGACTTATCTCATAAATGTAGTGACTGCTTGATGAGGTTTGGAAATGAAAGGGAATTAAGTCACCTTCCAATCCATGAGACCACTTGATTATTCTCTTTAACTTACAGAATGTTTAAAATAATAAATTTAGCCTTTTTTTGGAGATGATTAAATGGATGATTGTAAACACAACTTATGAAATTTGCCTTTAACAAGTAACTTTTGTAAATTATAAAATCTTTTTGGCATTGCTCCATTTTCAGTATACAAATATATCTTTAATGTGGTATTTTCAATTGCGTGATAGTTTGCAGTTTTAACCACTCTTGGTGACTGTCATCCTGTTTCTTGCATGTGCTCGATTTCATGAATTGAAAAGAAACAAATGTATTGAAATGAGCTGCAGTTTTCCTTCCTTAACCATGGGTACTAGTAACTTTTTCTTTTTAAAACCCAAGACAAGATTAGTTTTTTTGGTGTATGAAGTCATGAAATTATATGACCAGAACTAAAATGCAATATACAATTAAATCCATGGATACTCCCACTAATAAGAAATAACACTAGGAGGCCACTATTATCACAGGAAGAAAAGATTTGGTTTTCATGGCAGTTTGTTTTTTTAAAAAAATTTTTGAGCCCCTAGCTATTGTTGAATATTTTAAGATAGGATGAGGGAGGAACTAATTAATAAGGTCTTACACAATAATAAATAACTGTATCATAACTCAAAAAAAAAAGAAAAGGAATTGATGTGAAATAATAACTTGATTTCCAAGAGTTTCTGCTAATTACAAAGAAGACACTAATGAGGAAGTAACAGGGAAAGATATAAATATATAGTTTATACCTTCATGATCAGTTTGCTTTTCTGCTAACTTAGGAAGATCAGATATGAAATATGACCTTTGTTTAGAGAAACCTCTCACTCTACCACCTCCATGTTAATCAGTTTGACTTAAAAGACTGAGTTAAAAGCTTAACTGAGATACCTTCTCTTCACTAACTTATGAACTCTCTCCAATAACTGATGGTCAAGAGCTTTTTTCCAATCCTTTTCTGAAATGTCTGAGGGACTGGAGCAGTTTGGAAAATTTTCAAGTTGCAAAAAATGTGGTAGCTATTTATCGAATGGCTCTAAAATTCATTGTCCAAGCCAGAACACTCTTGATAGTGAAGGGGGCTGCTGAGTGATAGAGCATCATGAGGAGATGAACTTCCCAACAGGCAAATGGTTGGAAGCATCCAAAAACAAAGAATATTTCTATCAAATAACAACAATACACATAAAATCTATGTAGAATGAATAACAAGTAATAGCTGTTGACTCTGTTGGGAGAAGACACGTAATTTAGATTTTTTAAAAATTTTAATGTGTTTTCATTTATTGAAGAGACTGCCCTTTTCCCAATGTTCTTGTCACATTTGTTGAAAATAAGTTGTCTGTAAATGCATGGATTTATTTCTGAGTTCTCTATTCTGTATGTCTTCAATAGTGCTGGGAAAACTGGATATCCATATGCAGAAAAATAAAACTAGACCCCACTCTCTCACTTATAAAAAAAAATCAAATGTATTAAAGACTTAAATGTAAGACTTGAAACTATAAAACTACTAGAAGAAAACGTTGGAGAAATACTTCAGGTCACTGTCCTAGGCAAAGATTTCTTGAGTAAGAACTCAAAAGCACAAGCAACCAAAGCAGAAATTTAAAAAGCTTCTGCACAGCAAAAGGAAAAAATAAAGTGAAGAGACAAGCTACAGAATGGGAGAAAATATTTGCAAACTATTAATCTGACAAGAGAATAATAACCAGAATATTTGAGGAACTCAAACAAGAGCAGAAAAATGATCTGATTTTAAAAATAGGCAAAAGATCTGAATAGACATTTTTCAAAAGAAGACATGCAAATGACCAACAGGTATAAGAAAAAATGCTCAACATCACTAATCATTAGTAATATGAAAATAAAAATTATAACAAGATATCTCCTCACCACAATTAAAATAGCTACTATCAAGTAAACAAATGAACAAAAAAATAAACCACCAAAATTTGGCAAAAATATATAGAAAGGGGAATGTTCATCAATGTTGATGAAAATGTAAATTAGTACAGCCATTTTGGAAAACAGTATGGAAGTTCCTCAAAAAACTAAAAATCGGACTACTATATGATCCAGAAATTCTCCTGCTGGGACTTATTCCAAAGAAAGAAAAGCAGTATATTGAAGAGATTTCTGCACTCCCATGTTTATTGCAGCACTATTTATGAGAGCCAAGACATGCAATTAACCTAAGTGTTCATCAGTGGATATACGAATAAAGAAAATAAATGTGGCATAGGTACACAATGAAATATTATTCAGCCATAAAAAAGAATTAAGTCCTGATACTTACAACAACATGAATGGAAGTGGAAGACATTTTATTGAGTAAAATAAGCCAGTCACAGACAATGATTATGTTTGCACTCATGTGTTGGAGCTAAAAACAAGATCTCATAGAGGTAGTGAGTAGAATGGTCATTACCAGAGGCTGGGAAGAGTAGTGGAGAGAAAGAGATGAAGAGAGTTGGTTAATGGGTACAAAACCACAATTAGGTAGAGGAAATAAGATCCAGTGTTCAATAGCACAACTATAGTAAACAATAATTTATTGTATATTTCAAAATAGCCAAAAGAAGATTTGGAATGTTTCCAACACAAAGCAATGATAAATGTGTGAGGTGATGGATATCCCAATTACCCAGATTTGGTAATTACACATTGTATGCTATTTTCAAAATATCACATGTACCCCATGGTATGTACAACTATTATGTACCCATAAAATCAAAAATAAAAATATTAAAAATATTTTTCAAGTAATATATGGTCCAAAAAAAAAAAAAAAACCAAATAAAAACTCAATACTCTTAGCTCTTCATGCTTTGCCTCATCACACGGGCAAGCTCTTTAGAAACATTTAGTGGATAATGTTTCTCTCAATGCTTCTAACTGATAAATGCATCATGGTTTGTATAGTTTGATGTTATCTATGGCCTTTAATCAGAGAAGTTGAGGACTTTTCATTCTCTCATATGCTTTCTCTATTCTCCATACATGATTTTCATCATATTTTGCTAATTAAAATTTTAGTCTCCTTTATGTACTTTGTATATTACCATATGTATTTATAAGTTCATTTTAAAGTCTCAATCAGATTCAAGTTTGACTTTTTTAAAATAGAAAGATTACTTTGTAGGTACTTCCACCAGGAAGTACATAATTCCGGTTGGCTCTCTTTTTGGTATGTTAGAAACCATTAATTCATAAAAGATTGCAAAATGGTAATATTCTAATTCTCTCATTTCTTCATTTATTAGCTCAAACACATTTCTAAAGATAAACTTACCCTCATAAATTGTTTTGTTTTATTTTTGTAAGGTGTAGTTTGAATAGAAAATTCAAGATAAATGCTAATTATTTCCTTGCATTTGCCAACCTTCAATTTAGTGAGTTGATTTCATTTTTTCCTCCAAAGGTAATCAATAAAGTATCTCATGATATCATCACAAATGCATAGACTTAATTGTCTTTGATGTATCTCAATTATGTTCAATAATGCCATAGGCTGCAATCAGCAAATTCAAACCCTGAGAAACTTTTTTTAGAGTTTTACAAAATAGCTTTTATTTTTAACTTCTATTTTAGGTTCAGCAGTACATGTGCAATTTTGTTCTATAGGTAAACTACATGTCATAGGGGTTTTGTTTACAAATCATTTCATCACCCAGGTAATAAGCATAGTACCCAATAGGTATTTTTTCTGAACCTTTTCCTTCTCTCACACTCCATCCTCAAATAGGTGCCAGTGTCTGTTATTCCCTTCTTTGTGTTCATACGTTCTCATTGTTTAGCTCCACCTATAAGTGAGAATCTGAAGTACTTGGTTTTCTGTTCCTGCGTTAGTTTGCTAAGGTTAATGGCCCCCAGCTCCATCCATGTTCCTGCAAAGGGCATAATCTCATTTTTTTTTTTTTTTTTGAGACGGAGAATCTCATTCTTTTTTATGGCTGCATAGTATTCTGTGGTGTATATGTATCACATTTTCTTTATCCAGTCCACTGTTGATGGGCATTTAGGATGATTCCATGTCTTTGCTATTGTGAATAGTACTGTGATGAACATATATGTTCATGTGTCTTTATAATAGAATGATTTATATTCCTTTGGGTATTGTATTAGTCTGTTTTCACATTGATAAAAAGAAATACAAGCGACTGGATAATTTATCAAGGAGAGAGTTTTAATTGACTCAAAGTTCCACACAGCTGGGGAGGCCTCAGGAAACTTACAATCATGGTGGAAGGTGAAGTGGAAGCAAGCACCTTCCTCACATGGTGGCAGGAGAGAGAAGTACAAGCAGGGGAAATGTCAGCTGCTTACAAAACCATCAGATCTCATGAGAATTCACTCACTCACT